TCTCTCTCTCTCTCTCTCTCTCTCTCTCCGTAGCGATATTTCCAGCGCAGCAGGTACGTAGTAACCCAATCTTGTATCGCTCAACCTTTCCCTCTCTCTCTCTCTCGGTCTTCTTCTTCGTCGTGGTCTTCTCTGCAGGTGCGCGGCGGCTTCTCCAACCTTCGGGTCCGCTATGGCGGACTTCTTCTTCTGGCGGCCACGTCAGCTATGGCGCATCAGGCCCTGTACAGGACGGCGCGCATGGAATAGCGGGGACCAGCTCCGATACCAATCAATCAGACTCGCCCTCATTCACACTTTTCACGCATGTAAACAGTAGCGCAGCAAACTGGCAACATGCGCCCACACAAAACTCAGAGATATGGCATCCAGATACGAGTTCACTTTCAATTGGCTATGGCGACTCAGCGCCCAAACAACTCACTGTTCACATACACCGGATCACCCTGGATATCCCACACGCGACTCTCTGAACTCACACACACACACACACACACACTCGCTGCACACTAACTCTAGCTATGGCGGCTATGGCCGCAACTACCCTATCGCTATGCTACGCTCCTTCTCTCTCGCCCACTTCAGCTCCGGGCTCTCTGCAGACCTCCTTGCATAAGTCGTTGTGGCAGCGCTTCCGCATGGCTCACGCAGGAATGAATGAATGGCTGGGCGCTGCCTCTTGATTTATACTCCTGAAGCTCGTTGGTCTGCCCTTTGCCATCGGCCCATGGTGCTCACGGTCCCTTGTGGTACTTGCTGGACTGGACTGGCACTGACTGGACCTTACTGCTGACTGACTGGGGACTCACTGCTAACCTACCGAGGTCGTACTGCGATTGCACTGCAGTTAGTCCACCACTTCACTCGCCACTTGCCCACTTGCCCACTTGCTGACCTTCTAGAAGGACTACAGCTAAGACTTCTGGAACTCGCTAAGGCTTCTATTCTGCAGGTCTACAGATCGAACCTCTGCTACCTACGGACCTATGACAGCCTACCAACTGTTTACGAATACACAGGTCACAGGTTCAACTCTCGGGGTCTACACAGGTACTGTACACAGGTAGGGCAAGGTCTAGGGATCGAACCCTGGGATCTGCGTCTGCTACTGCAAAGAGGTGAAAACCGTTTCAGGAGGTAGGAGGAGGAGGTAATAGGAGTGCAAACTTTCTGAACATGCAGCATCACTCCGTTGCCGGGAAGCGTACAGCTCTCGGGCATTGTGGACTGTGACGCGAGACCTGCTGGTGGATCCAAGTGGGACATAGCACAGGTTGTGATGGCAATCTGCAAACACACAGCGATCCGTAGTCGAGGTACGGCGAGCTAGGGAGGAGGCAGAATGTTGGTAGGAGGAGGAGCGGGATGAGGTCAGGAAGGAGGGGAGGGGAATCACGCTATATTGAGTACGGGAAGAAGAACAGGATGGGAATACCGATCACGGCGTCTATGGGGGAGCGATGTGGAAGGGGTGGGGATCCGGCGACTCTCTCTCTCTCTCTCACTCTCACTCTCTCTCTCTCTCTCTCTCTCTCTCTCTCTCTCTCTCTCTCTCTCTCTCTCTCTCTCTCTCTCTCTCTCTCTCTCCCCCCCCCCCCCCCGCCCACCCCCCAAAAAAAAAAATGCATAGAACTGAGGACTCTGGTTCCCGACACATCTACTGCTACTTGAGTGCTACTGGCAGCATACACGACCCGCCCTAAGCTTCCCCTATCGGCCACTTGAGTGTTTTCCCCGCTGCGACCCCGAAGTCACGGCCACAGATAAGTACTGGCCCTACGGGCCTGCCAAACAAACAGGTGCCCTGGCAGGCCACACACACACTCAGGCCGGCAAGCACTCAGACATCCATGCAGACCAGCACACACACACACACACACAGACTTAGAAAACTTCAGCAACAAGCGGGAATCTCAGCAAGGCATTCATTCGTGTGGCAAAACTCAGAAATCAGCTGTGTTCTCACAAACTTCTCAGTCCATGTTTTGGCAGGTCTGCTCGAATCCAAACGGCGCTGGTGGGTTCCGTTCCGTGGGTGCACGCCGACGGCTCATAATTAAGGGCTTGTGATGGTGGGGCTGCAGGTTCTAGGTCGGTGATTTGCTGGGCGCGCAAAGTTTTGTGAATGTGGAATTTGTCGGAGAGTGTATGGCTCTCGGGAAGTGTGGGCAGTGACACGAGAGCCACTGGCGGATGCAAATGGGACACAGCAAAGGTTGTGATGGAGGTGGGAGGCGGAGGAGGAAGATGTAGGAGGAGGTGGGAGGTCGAGGAGGATGAGGGCAGTGGTGGCGGGATGCAAGTGATACATAGTTGGAGGTTGAGGAGGTAGAGGAGGTAAGAGAAGGAGGTAGGAGTGGCAGACGGAAATGGGAGGAATAGGCAGGAGGAGATAGGGGGAGGAGGGACACGGTGGCAGAAGCAAGTGAGACAGCGAAGGTTGGAGGAGGAGGGATGCGATGACAATATGCAAACGGACAGTGATCCGGTAGCTGAGGTAGGAGGAGGTAGTAGGGGGAGGAAGGAGGAGGTAGGAGGAGGAGGAGGACATAGGAGGTTGGAGGAGGTATTTCCTAACATGCAGCATCATTCCGCTGCCGGGAAGCGTACAGCTCTCATGCGCTGTGGACAGTGACGCGAGACGTCCTGGTGGATGCAAGCGGGATATACCACAGGTTGTGATTGTAATTTGCAAATGCACAGCAATCCGGTAGTCAAGGTACGATGAGGTAGGGAGGGGGCAGAAGATTGGTAGGAGGAGGAGTGGGATGAGGTAGGGAAGGAGGGGAGGGGAATCAAGCCATCGAGTATGGGAAGAAGAACAGGACGGAAATACGGATCATGACATCGAGGGGGGGGAGAGCTGGATGGGAATTGAACGTACTCGCTCTTTCTGGTCCCTCCCTCCTGACACAAATCCCTCCTCCTACGACAGACCCACCCTCCTGGGACTTTTGCTTGATCATGCGAACCTTCTTGGCGTTCTTTCTCATTAGAATTTGCTGTGAACTTGGTCATGCGGGTGGAGGGCACTCTCAGTTATCTAGCTCTCGGTTGTCGAACTCTCCCTCTCATTCATGACACAGCCCCCTCCCTCCTGCCACAAATCCCTCCCTCCTAACACAAATCCCTCCCTCCTCCCATAGACACCTCCCTCCTACGACAAACCCATCCCTCCTGAGACTTTTGCTTGATCTTGTGAAGGCCTTCTTGGTGTTCTTTCTGATCAGAGTTTGCTGTGAACTTGGGCATGCGGGTGGAGCTCTCTCTCTCTCTCTCTCTCTCTCTCTCTCTCTCTCTCTCTCTCTCTCTCTCTCTCTCTCTCTCTCTCTCTCTCTCTCTCTCTCTCT